TAAATTTACACTATGTTAATTAAGCTTAGGTCAGCATCTAAGTTCTCTCTGTCTTCTAAAGTGAGCTCAAATAATTACCTATATTTTATATATCATAAATCTGATAATTAATTTAATAATAGTTATTCTTTTTTTTTTTTTAATAAAAAAGATATTATTGCATACACATGATAATATCATCGCCATAATTACAAGATTAACCTCCTAATCAATTTGCATGCATTATCATGCATGCCATGTTTAATCAAATCAGATCAAATCAAACATAAGGGCATTTGTCTTGGAATCTTTAATTTGATCTGATCTAATCTGTGTTTATATATGAATTTAATTTTAAATACGAAGATTATCGATCATTTATTTGATTCAAATTGATACATTCAAAGAATTATGATGATTGTCAAGCCAACGTGCAGCTTCAACTGTGATTATAGTTTGATTAGACATAATAACACGTCTAAAAGTCTTGTAAGCTTACGTCTGGCGCTCGTTGGCTTGAACTAGGTCCCATAATCTAGATGGATGACATTAATCGCGAACCAGTGCCTCCATGTAACAATCATGTATATCGAACGTAAACGTTAGAGCATATATTTAAGAAATACGTGGCGTGGCGTGTGGGGGCGGGGAAATGGATAACGTTGGGAGGGAGTTGGTTGGGTGAAAGTGAGAAAGTGGGGAAGGTGGCTAGGTGGGCGTGCAACCCAGCAACCAAGCAAGGGGATTAAGCATGGCAATGGGAGAGGAGGATATAGATGGCATAAAGCGACTTCTCCTGTTGGGCACATACTCACATGACCTCCTTCCTTAATTACTCACCCCATGTGCTACTAACCTCCTTAATCCAATCTCAATCCCAATCCCAATTATTACTTGTGGTATATCTCGACATTCGTGCCGACTCATATTACTTCAAATATAGATTAGACTAGATGCGGACTCGGTAGACTACTGACTTATAAGTAACAGCTCGAACTTAATGTTCGTAGATATTGTCCGCTTTTACTCGTTACGTATCGTCGTCAGTCTCACAGTTTTAAAATGCATATGCTAGAGAAAGGTTTCCCCTCTCCAACAAGAGTGGGATCTCACAATCTACCCCTTAGAGGTCTAGCGTCCTCGATGGCACATCGCCTCGTGTCTACCTCTAATACAACATGTAACATTTCAAGCTCACCGCTAATAAATGTTGTCCATTTTTGTCCGTTATGTATCGTTGTTTTTTAAAACGTGTCTACCATGAAGAGAGTCTAGTCCTCTTACAACCCGTGTCTTGCACTATCCAAATAACTGACTCTGATACCATTTGTAACAGCTTAAGCCCACCACTAGCAGATATTGTCTGCTTTAGCCCTGACACATCGTTGTCAGTCTCACGATTTTAAAATATGTCTGCTAGGGTGAGATTTCCATATTCTCGTAAGAAATGTTTCATTCCCCTAACCAATGTGAGATATCCCGAACTATATTTAGATGAGTTAAAATTTGGATCGTTATAATGTGTTGTCTTCGACTAGTTATACCAATAAAGTTAACAAACTAAATTTCTCTGAAAATCGATGTTATATTTCAAATACGTATCGAGCCATTTTTTTTTAATTCATTCCACGAGATCATACCAGAAAGTGAGGTCAAATTTGAAGCTTTAAATAGTGAACAATAAAAATGTGGGTGTTCTAGCAGTGGAAGACATTATATAAAATTTTATTTATTACAGAACAACAAAATTTCTACTATAGTTATGAAGTTACGAAATTATTTGAGAGGTTAGTTAGATCGGTTCCACTCTAATAAATAATTGCATTAGCCTAAAACTAGATATATTTCCATCCTATCACACATTTTTAATATCATCCAACCGACTCTTTTAATAACTCAAATTAAATATAAATCTAATCATATCTCGTCCGTTCCTGAATCTTATCCGATTGTAGTAAAACACATAAAACAAGATAAATATAACACATCATTGTACCGGGTCTGACAAGTTACATGATTGTGTTTGCTCCTAGTAGATTTAACCTCGAGTATAAAATATCGAATGTTTTTTTTTTATTAACCAAGTATTTTCGAGCGAGACCAGAAGTAAATTTTGGATCGATAACGAGCGGTCTTTTAAAATAAAAGAATTATTTATTAATAAAAATAAAATTTAGAGAGAGGTGGTGGGGATGAGGTAGAAACATAGGCATTTAAGAGGTGTGCCCTCTCACCAGAAGACCACACCCTACCCTTTCTCAATTATCCCTTCCCTCTTCCTTGGATCCACCACTTTCTCTCTCTCTCTCTACCCTATAAATTTATAAATTTTTTACTTTATTTTTTTTCTAATATCAAATGTCCAGCTGGCAAGCGAGTAATATAATATTATGAATTAAATATTATTTGTCTAAATTCTCGTGAGACCTTTCGTCAAATAAGTCATAAAAATAAGCTAAATAACTCGATCATACATTGAAAATGATACTTTTTTTAATAAGAGATTAAATTATTGACTTTTAAAATAATAATCGATATATGTCAATTTAAACATAGCTCATCTGTATAATATTATGACACATAATCAGACAACACACGAAGATGGTCTTCGAAAAACGCTCTTTGTGTGCCTTTGCATTTTAATGTTCATGAAAAGCTGCCCCTTTTGTCACAACCCCATATAAAAAGCCATGCAAGATCTTCACTTTCACAATCCATTCATAGCCTGACCAAGAACACAAGAAGAGCTTCTAAATGGCCTTTTCCAAGTCCAAGTTTGTCACTCTCTTTCTGCTCTTCTGCACCCTTCTTCACCTTGGCTTTGCCAATGAACAAGTTATCGACGACGCCGTTGCTCAGAGCGAGGTTGTAGGGCAACGTCTGCCTTATGCACAGGACTGCTGCAATTATGGTCACTCGGGGAGCTGCGTCGGTTCACCGAACTGCTGTGGGAATGGAGGCGACTATGGCAACTCCCCTCCTCATTGTGTCCAAAATGGATGTGGGTGTGTGGAGAATCCGAGCAACAACTGTTGTGCTGGCTCGGTTGGCCATCCTTCTCCTCCGTCGTGCCAATGGCAGGGACCGAGCCCGTGCTGTGGCTGCGTGAGAAGCAATGTCAAGGTCGAGGAACAGAATGAATCGGACTCCGTTCGTCCCAGCAGTGAATCAATGACTCCAATGCATTAAGGAACTTAAGACATGAAGCTCTTCATGACCAGCATTAACATCTTAGTCAATAATATCAAAACTGCTTGTGGCTTACAAATATAAAGCTTCATGAATTCATCTTTTAATATCAATACACAACTTTCTCTTATGAATATGTTACACATATGCTAACTTCCCTAAGTTCATGTTCAATATGAGTATCTATTTCCTATAAACCTCTAACCTCGTATATTCTCGACACTTGATTTCGGTCGAATGTTATACCGTTGCTGCGCCGAGTGTGCTATCTTTTAACTGGCATAGAAAAGCTTCTCATAAAGTTTTCAACCTCCAACTTCGGATCAACCGGTGAAGAAAGAGATGCAGAGGGTTGCAGAAGCGACGTTCTAGCTCTGCTTGGCCATTCATTAACAACAGGGTCGGATTGTTCTTGTACAGAAGTTGGCTGTAGCTCGATTGTCGTATAGTCAGTAGTAGTTTCGTATGTATCATCAATAAGCCGACGGTCATCATCCTCGATTGACATAACCGTGCTTGTTTCGGTATGAATCGTGGTGTCATCGGTGAACATGCCAAGCCTTCTTTTCCTTCTTGCTGCCTTGCCCCATCCGTGGATTGTTTCCCTTATTCTTTGTGGAATTAATGCAGCTTTATAGTTTGTTCCCATCTAAGAAAAGAAAAGGTTAATCTGAGTACTCGGAATACGAAGAGAAACTAGCTCGACCGTCGTGTCCGAAACTGTTACCTGAGTTACCAGAGCATACAAGGGCAAGGTGCTGTAGCTGCAAAGGAACTGCCCGGCGAATCTACAGAAAAACCGAATATCATACGCAACGAAAATAGCTCTTTATAAAAGCACGTAACGAGTAATAACTTCAATTTATGCATACCCCAAGATGAGTCTTGCATAGACAAGCATATGGTTCCTAATAAAGCAAGAATTATATCCAAATTGCCACTGTAAAGTAAAAAGAAAAAAGGAAGGATTAGTAACAAGTAGTTCTAGCAGAGTTTTCTCCATCCGTATTTCTTATTTCGTGATCTTGTTAGTTCCGTTTCATTTTTCCTATTATTTCGTTGTAAATTGCAACGCGCACGCTATAACAGCCCAAGCCCACTACTAGCAGATATTGTCCGCTTTGGTCTGTTACGCCATCAACCTCGCGGTTTTAAAACGCGTTTGTTAGGGAGAGGTTTCCACACCCTTATAAGGAACGTTTTGTTCCCTCTCCAACCGATGTGGGATCTCACAATCCACCCCCTTAGGGACCTCACGTCCTTGCTAGCACACCACTCGATGACTGGCTCTAATGCTATTTATAACAGTCCAAGCCTACCGCTAGCAGATATTGTCCGCATCGGCCCATTACGTATCGCCATCAGTCTCACGATTTTAAAACATGTTTGCTAGGGAGAGGGTTTCCACACCCTTATAAAGAATGTTTCGTTCCCTTCTCCAACCGATGTGGGATCTCACACAGGCACTGTTCGATATCCATAGAAACTAAGTTGGTGATAATCATGAAAAGAGGAAAGTACCCAAAACCAGAAGAACGACGCCAACTCAAACGCATTCTGCAAGGAAGGTTAAATAAAAAAGCTTCACCAAATCCGATATAAACAAAAAGGTCGATTTCCGATCATTCTAACGTAAATAATCAATATAGACCTGGAAAAGGATAAAGTGGATCAAGGACAAGAGAAGTTCAGGCTTCTTAAACCAGAAAAGATCATCTCTTGGCTTTAGCTTTGGACCCGAAAAAGAACCTGTTATACCAGCACTTTCCAATGCCAACGTTGCAATGACATGCTGCAGCTTCGTGCCCACGAGAAGAACAAGCTAAAAACAAGGTATCAACACGTATCGGGTTCAAACAAGATCTAAAAAAGCTGGTATAGAAAAATGATTTATTTAAACAAGCTAAGAAGTTGTTCTTGATGAGGAGTGAGATATAAAGGAGAGAGCGCACTCACAGCAATTGGAATGGATGCTATCCAGAAGTACAGATTAGATCCTGCAGTAATGCAAAGAAAGGATTGATGAACACAATGATATATTTCATACAATTGGATCAAACCACCACTTCTCAACCAGAGAGTTTTACCTTTTACATCGAACAGCATGAAAGCAACGACGAATCCCCACAACGGAGCGCTGCATTAAAGAGGAGGTATCAGCTTTCACATCTCCTATGGGGTCTAATATGCATGCATACATAAAATACGTCCACTAGGGAGAGGTTTCCACGTCCTTATAAGGAATGCTTTGTTCCCTTCTCCAACCAATATGAGATCTCACAATCTACCCCCTTTGGGAACTCAACGTCCTCGCAAGCACACCGCCCGATCCTGACTCTAATATCATTTGTAATGACCCAAGCCCATTGCTAGAATATATTGTCCTCTTTGGGTCGTTAGATATCGTCATCAGCCTCACAATTTTAAAAACGCGTCTTCTAGGGAGAGGTTTCCTCTCCAACCAACGTGAGATCTCATAATAGCACTGTACCAACTCAAGCCCACCGCTTGCAGATATTATCCTCTTTGGGTTTGTTCCCTCGAGGTTTTTAAGGAGAGGTTTCCAAGCCCTTATAAAGAATGTTTCGTTCCCCTCTCCAACCGAGGTAGGATCTCACAAATTCCAATGCTTTTAAAAAGGGCTCCACAGTATGCCCCTAGTATTCGAATACCTCCGTGTTGCAGACCGAATGCAGATATCTATTATCCCATTCAAACGGTATCGAAATTGAAATTTGTGGTCATTTCACCTACCTCACACCTACTATCCTTTGGAATTCTTCTTCCATGGAGCGAATCATGTAGCTGTGGAAATCATACGTCAAAGGGAGGTGGTGATTCTGCAACAAATAAGATCCAATAAAAAAAAACATGTTTTATTATTTCGGGTCATAAGAATACAGATCAGCTGTAGATGAGCCACCTTAAATATTGTAGCTACGTTGGATTTTACTACGATTTATATTCGCATGAATAATTCGAACACGGATTCATGCATTGAAATAATAAAAATTTGTAACTATTGCACATGTCCTCCAAACTCAAACTAGGGATTAAGCAACAGATTCCCAAAATATAACAGCTTAAGAGTAGGCAACTACTGACAAAAATGCTAGCAAACCATATCGACGAACCATGATGAAGCCCTTGCGGAGTGTGAGGTAGTCAGCATGAACTACAGAATTCCCGAATTGTCGGAAGAAACATGTCTACAATTCATAAATTCGATTAGTTCAAAGCAGAAGATATGTCAAGGCAGCAGTAAGACTTTGAAAGGGTAAGAGGAAAGACTGCAATTTATTACGAATACAGGGACTAAATCAAAATGAAAGTAAAATATGTGGAAGTTGAAAGCATACCACCCAGATTAGAAAGCTGTTCCGTGTAATAGGATGTGAAGTGTGATATCGAACAAAGGTCGATTGCCTCCGCAGTGTCATTTCTCTCGTGATATCTATGGCGGTATAGAACTAATTGTTAGCGTGACAAATTAGTTTCTAATAAAAAAGAAATCATCAGCTCACTCGATACGATGAAGATTGGCATGAATATTGCCCTGAACTTACTAAATTTTCAGTATCATAAACAAAACGGTACTCGAGAGGACGATACAAGGCTTAGTTTCGTTCTAGGTGTATATCTAACGCCAAACAGAAGATGATTACAATAATGCTGTGTTTCTAATCCCACAATACGACCATAGAGCTTACCATTTAGTGAATCATGTCTGTCCATATGGGCTTCATCTTCCCAAGCTCTCCATCTGTGAATCTGATTTATCATATATCAAACTATTACAACTCGTAACGTTTGTGATTATTTTGCAATTTCTCATCAAATACCAATGTTCTATGTCGAGATAAAGTACCTTTACGATTGCCAGTAACATTGTTAAGCAGCTATAAGATATATGAGTTACTGCCATTATAAAGATAAAGCGATGCAATTGCTCGAGACCCTCGTACGAAACAAACGGCTCGTAACCCTGCACAACGAATATTTGAAAACTTCAATCAGTATTAGCTTGGAAGAAGAAAGAGTTGTCATTTAAGTCATGTGAACTCTATGACATGCCTCTTTGCAGGTTTTCTCATTCCCATTAAGCATCCGCCTAAACAAATGGGGTAATACCGAAACGGTGTATAGTTTCCGTTCTTCGGATGAACTGTCTTCTTTTTGTTCATCAATCTCGGCTTTGGTACATGGAGTAAAAGGGGTATTATAGAACCTTGATGGGATGCAGATGTTTGATATTAAGCTTGATGTAGCTGTTAAAAGGAGAGAAATAAATCCAAGAAGCATCAACTCTGAAACCAGAAAATCAAATGCCAATGAGTTAAGACATACGAAGAATGGATAGCAAAGCTCTTAGTTATAAGCTAAGCACGTCTTGAGTGATTGAGTGAATGGCATAGCCATTTACCTTCTTTCATTTTCTCCACTGCCTCTAACAATGGCTTTCGGTTAGTCTTCCTCAACCACTGAGATTACAAAAGGAAAAATCATGAACAAGTATGCGAGTGATGGCTATGAAAGATTCATATGGGTCAGTTATGATAGAACCACTAGGTGAAATGCTTACCGTGCTTAGCCGGTGAATGGACCTCTCCACGAGCAAGGAGACTACAACGAAAATGGTTAGCACAGAAGCAACAGACCAAGTGGGCGTCAAGGCCAAAGATCGCATCTCCTCTTCATTATCAGCCATCTCCCACAAGTTTCTGAGATGAACTTTCAGGTATGTTCCTCAAAGCTCCGGTTATACGCCGACCAGGGCAGTCTTAAAAGACCTCAAACGAGCTCATCAATGGTCGCTGATCAAGAAACAAGAAGAAAATTGCAGACTGCTTAGTTTCTGAGGATAGCAAAATCATCCAAAATATGAACAGAAAAAGCTTGAGGACTGTATGATGCTTACTTTATGGAAGAGTTTTCAGGTCCCAATACGCCATGAAAGCGACAATTGAAGAAGGGTGTGTACGAGTTTATCTTCTCTGATTTTCCCCAATTGATTAAGTCAGAAGTTTTCTTTCCTTTTCTCCTTTTTTGGGTCTGCTCTCTCTGGCTCTAAGAGTAGCTTCCGCTCAAAAACCAGCTGAGATGAACTGAATATGACCAATTGGGGGTACCCAACAACGAAATTGATCCAAAAAACAGAGTCCCAAGAGAACACACCAGAAACGTTCAATAAAGCTTCAAGGATGATGGGTCGATGCTTTCTTCATAATCTCCCAACCAAATTGACAAAAAAGGGGCAAATGCACGATTATGTCCAACAAACCCCTATGAGTATATGAAAACCCAGCTCACATTTCCCAAGAAACAAACAAAATCTTTGCTAAGAAGACACCTCGTTCAAATGTTTTCAACTACACAAGTCACAGAAAAGGAACAAATACAAACCCAAATCAAAATGGGGAGGCTAGCTCCAGTGAATTTAGAACACAAAAGCTAAAACCACGAGATTTGATTGGGTTTAAACACTGAAAAAAAACCCCCACATGCACGAACACGCGGTTCTTGGACTTGTGAAAACCGCTGCCTGTGCATTAACTCCTCAAAGAAATAGCGAGAACTTCGAAAAGAAACAATACGGTAATGAAGGCAGAGGGCAAATTAGGAATGACTCAGAAGAAAGAAATGCATGGAATCGCAGTATTTACATTTGGCTGAAAATTTAAAATGGTGGGTCACAACCCAACTGCACAAAGCAATGATCTGAGGAGCCAAGTGGGAAAGCAAGCAAGGAAGGAAGGAAGCAAGCAATCTACTAATGAATCGCTGAATTTGACAACGTTGCTTTTGTTTTGATTATACCCTCCGGCCTCCGCTGATTGGGGAACATGCCAAAAGGCCAAACCCAGTCATCCTCCATTCTTCAACCATTCAACCATTCCATACGCTAATTTTGTTCCTTCTTAAATTTTACTCTAAAATGGTACTCCAATGGCAGGCAGCATTCTTCCGGACTCCTTTTTCTTTTTATTTAAGCGAATAATTATAAAATAAAATAAAAAAGAGAGGAAATTTATTTATTTTAAAGCAACATTATTTGAACTATTGGGGCTCTACAGCATTTTTTTGTTAATGATATAATAGAATATTGTACATCAAAATATTATAAGAACCTTTTGTAAAATATTTATTTATTGTATGATTATATTTTTCTAAAATATGGTAGGTGAGGTGTTATTTTCCTTTTTTTTTTTTTTTTTTTTTTTTTTT